CCCAGGTACGAGCCCGGGCAGGACTGGGAGGAGCGGGCGGCTCCAGCGCTGGGTCCCCAGCGGTTGCCCTGGCTGCTCCCCTGCTCCTCAGCCTGCCGGCTCGGGGCCCTGGGCACGGCCAGCTCTTGGGTTTCACCCCTCTTGATTTTTGTTTTTCTGTTTTTTTCCTGTTGCTAAGAGCTGGGGGGTTTCTCACGCGAGCCCCTGGCAGCGCTCGCCTTGCACCAGCGGGCTACGACCTATTCCCCCGGCGGTTTTGGTGCTCTTGCAAGGACCTCAAGCTGCCCGGCTGAGCGTGGCTGGCACAGTAGGGTTTGACCAGACTTCCTTCAATCCACCACATCTCTCTCTGTTGTTTGCTAGCCTCCTTGGTCTCTCATTTCTTCGGTCACTGCTTCTGTTTTATATTGTGGAGATGTCTAGTACAGGCACTGTTTTGGCAACGCTTCATCCAGCGCAGGTTTGTGTCCATAAATACTGCCGTGACTATGACCCAGAGTGCTTTTAGCAGGGTGAAAACTTGCATTTTTAAGTTACTCTGCTAATGAAGGGCTTGGTTTATAATTGAACCAGGCCTGGGAATTTCCGGCTAGCTCTGAGCCCCAGCCTCTGTGGGACTGACCCAGCCTACCTCGTTCTTAGGGAACACCTTCTCAGAAACTGTAACCTCTTGCTACAGCAGTGCTCCACTGGAAAATGGAAGTGGTTAACGATGCAACTGTGACCCAGCAGTATGCAATGGTACGTGCATGTGACTCTCTTGATAATTTGTCCGCAGTTGTGAAACTTGTGTGCAGAGAGCCTAAACTAATACTTGTTTCGCCACCGTCAGATGAAAGCACCAAAGCCTTCTTTGTCAAAGTCTTTTTGAACAGGTTGATTTGAAAGAAATATACAGATACTGTAGTTGTGTGCACCTGAATATAGACGGACAGAAATGGTCCCCCACATTTTCTTCTTCACTTAATTTATTTCTAGAGATTGTTCCCCATAGAGGCTGGGTGCTTTTTCGAATTGAATATTAACACACATCCTCATGAACAAACTTGACTGAAACAAGCTTCCCCTTCTTTTTTTGGATGTGGAAATAAATGGGCACTACGTTGCTGTTGTGCTTTTATATTGTTGGCCTGTCTTTGTGTGCCGACTGCAAGAGGCCTATAAAGCAGTATTATTCTTAACTGGTTTATAGTGTGTTTCATCCAAGTATTATGATGGGTTTGAGAAGCAGGTTTCTAGCTGCATCTATAAGGACAATGTCTTTTGGTGAAATGCAGGTAACCTTTATATAAAAGCTGGCAGCCCTTAATATACAGTTCTTAAGAAAAGAGAATTGTGCGTAGTCTTAAAAGTGGAGTTTCAGTGAAAAGTCTGGAGGAGCCACGTACGCAGGTAATGTCCTTAATAGGAATCTTTTGATGACTTCATTGCAAAGTAAAACCAAGATCCTTACTGCTTGAAGTGTAGCTCCCTAGGACCCCATTAGGTCAGCGGTTAAGTAATAACCTTTGGAAAGGAATGCAGGCTTAGCTAGACCATTGATTTTTGTATGAAAAAAGGGAGACCAATGTGATCATTTAGTCCAGTGGGGGGCCAGTCTCTTTCGCTGAAGTGCCACAAATTAGTCCTGCACGCTCCCTTAGTACCATTCCCTTTCCCTGCCTGATACCGGCCTCTGCTTTTGGTATCCTGTCCTGTGCTCTTTGACTGAACTCTTGCTCTGTTTTCAGCTCCCTGCCCTATCCACTGCTGTGCTGTTTGTCTTCTCCCTGATCTGCCCTGTGCCACACACACTGGCTGCTTGTGGCACTTGTTACACAAGTTGAACACCCCTCATCTAGTTTGACATTTGTCCCCCAGGCCAAAATATTTCTTCCAAGGCTTTGGCGGGTGATGCGATTATGCTGCTTTAAAGAGGAGGGAGAGAATTAACCATGGTCTAGCTTAATTCTATAACTATTTTGTCTGCTCCTGTCATCCAGTAAGCAGAAGAGAAATGGCAACAATATACTAGTGGTTTCATTCAGGGGTTAATTATTCCAGTTGAGCTTTTCTCACTGGGATAAGAATGTACATGTTGGTTACATGTGCTCCTGGGTGGCAAGTCTCCCCCACCAATAAAGCAGCATAATTGTTTCATGTGTCTGCTCCCCTGGTAGTTCCTGTACTGAGACTGTGTATCTCTTGGTTGAGCTAGGGCATAGCTGTCCAACTCTTAAGCAGCAAAGGACCACACAATCTGTGGGCCACACCAGAGGGGGCTACATACCATGTGCCAACATGAGCCCCGGCTACTCCCCCAATGTACCATGTAAACACACAAAGGTGCTCCCAGTGTGAGCCACAGTTTCCCCTGGGCGCACTACCACACACATACGGGTGCCTCAGCCTCATCATCAGCTCTCTGGGCATAGGCTGTGCTGCACCACACTGTCCTGCTCAGGGTGGGCCAGGAACTGGAAGCTGGAGGTGGGAGGGGGAGTTTGGAAACCTTTGCTGCTGCTGCAGTTGGAGCAATGAGAGGAGCAGGATTTGGGTGGGAGGCTGGGGGCCACAGGTAAACCCCTCAAGGACTTCCTGTGGCTCGTGGGCCACCAGTTGGGCAGCCCTGGCTAGAGTATGCTTTTGCCACCTTGGAGCACCTGGGGGTTTCCTTAAAGATGAACTTCTAGCTTTTTGGTTAAATTTAGCCTGACCAGTAGCAAGGGTTGACTTTATTGCTCTTTACTGTAGCCTTCCTAATTTGTTGTTGTAGGAACTGACAAGTGTGTGAAATTTATGTACTACCCCATCCAGCGCAGTGCCTAGGTCAATCTAGAAAGTTTTTGTAAGAAACTGCATTGTAGAGTTTGTCTTGCAGAGAAAAAATAAGGCAGCAACACAGAATGAAAAGGGATTGCATGTAGGATTATGCTCTGGGCTTTTTGTCCCTAGAAATTACCATGGCTGTTGGAGCTATTGTATTCTGGTCACACAGAATTTTGCTTTCTTTTGCTTCATTGGGAATAGAAGGGAACAATCTAGCATGCAGGGCCATGTTATCCAGATGATGGGGCTCCCCACAGGTCCAGAAATTTGGCAGTAGGTAGCAGAAATTAACATTGCCACCACTTTCCTGCTGCCTAATTTCCAGACCTGTGGGGAGCCCTGCAAATTGGATGACATGGCTTTGAGGGCCAGAGCTTGAGCACCGCTGGTTATAATGATCTTTGCTTCCTATGTGGCACTGCATGCTAATTGACTTTACAACACTTCACAAGTATTAATAAATTAAACCTCTTAATAGTCCTGTGAAGTTACTAAGTATGGTTATCTTCATGTGAGGGGGCTGGGGTATGCTTTGAATCTGTCAGTGCCAGGAATCTAACCCACATCTGACTGCAGTCAAAGACTTAACCATAAGTTGATACAGTGGTTTATTTGGGACTTTTGAAGGCTTTTAGAGATCAGTGCAGTTACTTTTTGTACACTTATTCTTCTGCATTTGGGAGCATTTGCTGAAAGGGAGAGTTTCCCTCTGAAATGGTACGTTTGCCAGCCACTGATCATTAAATTGCTGTTGTTCATCTATGCTTCATGCCTGCCTTGATGGTGCCGCCCTTGTCGGTGAATACTAGCTCTGAGGTTAAGGCACTATATGCCCAGCTTTCTTTCCTTATGCATAGCTGCTGTAGAGGAGGTGTGGCAAAGCAGAGGGTGCTGTTCTCCTCTTTTCTCTTGTTCTGCTTTAATTTGGCTGCAGGAAGGTAGGCAATGTCTGGCTTTGGTGACAGCAGCATCTGCCCTCAAGATGCACAGGAGTTGGGGAGTTAGTTCCCATGTGCTGCAGAGTTGAGTACAGTTACTTCTCAGCAAGCAGTCCCATATTACCTGTGGAAGTGTTATGCCTCCTGGCTTTACTTGTTGGGTGGTGAATTCCCTCTCCATGGTACTTCAGGTCATAAGAGTCAGGCTTTTGCCCTAAACTGATTTTGCCAGAAGATTGTCTTTATCACAGATTAATTCAATACCCCACCATACCCTGGCTATTATGGCCACATTCCTAGCGTTCCTAATATTCCCCCCACCTTTTCCCTATGTCCAGCTATACTCATTGCTTTTTGCCATTGGACACCTGTGAGGGCGTGAGATTGTGGGGAAATGAACAATCTTAGAAAATCTGAGGGTGTTCAGCACCTCGCACAGTGTCATTTTTAGGACCTTGGTTTACAGTAATAAGCCAAAATTACCCTTAGTAAAGAGTATATTAAAAACACAAATGCAACAATAAAACAGTAATGGTAAGATCAGGTTTATCCTATGCACTTCTTTTGACACAGCTGTCTTAAGCATGGCTATGAGAAGGGGCAATCTCTTCACAGCCTCTGCTGTAGATACAGTCATGCTGGCATAGCTATACATCCAGAGGTTTAACTCTTCCTTCTCATAAGAAGCAGTTTTACTTCACAGCAGTACAAAGAATGATTTGGCCAGTATAGCTGCACCTGTTTAGGAGCACTTTGTATAGTATACTAGAATTCCTATGCCAGTAACAGATGCATTTTCATACTTAACCATGTTTAGAAATACAAAACGCTTGGAATTCAGTCCAACTTGGGCTAATAGCTGGTTGGACTCTTGATTAAGAAATAATAAAAGAGGTAGCAACCAGCCAGTTTAGTCCTCCTATGGTAGTTGTGGGATGTAGGTCTTTAAACCATTGTGTGTAGTAAAAACATATAATCAGCCAAGTCTTTTTCGGATTAGATTATACCATTTTGCCTCTTCATTTGTTTCAGCCCTTCAAAGAACCTTCCTCCCCTCCCCTCAGACATTGTCTATAAATCTTGGCTTGCAACTGTTCACGTAGGTTCACCTGACTTTATGTGCAGTCCATTCTGCCAATGGGCAGATATAAAACTGCAACATGGCTGTTTTGCCTTATGCCTTGAAAATTTTGGGTACTCTGAAATGATTTGTTTATATTCTTGATCAATTTGGCTTTAGGGTAGCATTCTCCTTGGTTTTTGGCTGGGGGTTTTGATATGTTAGTGTCTCAATTAAGCTGAGAAGGGAACCAAGTAAAGATGCTTCATCTTACCTCATTGTTTTGTATTGATTTATGGAGTCCCTGGTAAATAGCAAAAGACAAGCAACAACCTGAACCGATTTTAATTAAAGAGCAGCGTGAACCACCTAGCATTTGGAATAGATTAGTTAAAGGGGGTGGTGGCTTCTTGGTGCCCTGGTAATGTTATGTATTAAATGCAATGAAAAGTGTAGCTGTTCTGGTAAGAATGAGACCATAACCAAATGGTTTTCTTTGCTTTTTCAGGATTTCGAGGCACACCTTGGGTTTTCGGTTCACATGGCAGCAGCAAACTTGACTCCACCTGGTTCTTTGGATTTAAACCAACCTGGTTTTTCAAAGGAGATACTAGGGACTAAATTGGAGGGCAAATACCTCTGCTCAGAGTGCAAGAATATTCTGAGAAGGCCATTTCAAGCTCAGTGTGGACACCGCTATTGTTCTTACTGCCTGAAGAAAATTATCAGGTAATTTTATCCCCCTTGAGTCTGAAAACAAAATGTCCAGAAGTAAAAAGAAGGGGGAAAGGAAATAAAGCGTTATTATTTAGTGAATTATGGGTGAGGTACCATGTTCTGTGTCTCCAAGATTCAGCATCTGTTTCTCCTCTAAGACCTTGTAGATTCCTGAGTTTGTTGTATTCCTCATGTGGTAGAGTCAAAGCCTCAACCAAGAGCTCAGAGGGAGTGAATAAGGCCAAGTGGGCACACCTAGGTTGGTGTACTCCAGTTATGTGCTGCTGTAAGCTACTTTATTAGCCCCTTCCCATAAAAAGCTTGTTTGCAGTGCCATAGAGAGGAAGAGGTATTTAAATACTCATATCATACTTGCAGACAAAGCTTTGGTTAAACCTTCTGCCCTTGTAAAAGCAGAGGAGGAGTAAATTAAATTTAAGAACAGCTAATTCTATGATGAAAGAACTAGCATTCATACCAGGAATGAAAAATGTATAGCTTTTAAAAGGATCAATAACTAATGCCAAATGCATGTTAAGTAAGAGTTCTCTTAGCTTTTTTTAAAATAAGTGCCACACACATTGCTTTGGTTCTTCAGGGTCTGTTTAGAAGCATCCCTGTAATGGAATGATAAATTCAGCATCATATAGGCTATTTATTTTGTGGTTGGGTTTTTTTGGTCTCTTCTATCAGCTCGGGACCTCAGAAATGTGCAGCCTGTATTCAGGAAGGAATCTATGAAGAAGGAGTTTCCACTTTAGAAATAAACTCAGTAAGTAAGACTTTTCCAAATTGCTTGTGACATTTCCTGTTTTGGCTTAGAATGTGATGACTATGGCTAGAGAACAAATTCCAGCCTTTTGAACAGGTGTGAGTGATTCCCTGACTTCTAAAACTTGGGATATCTTTCAACAGAGAAGCCATTTCACTACAGTAAAGATTTGTCTTTCACAGATGCATCTCTAATGATACACTGTGGCAACTGGTTGAGGGTGAGGGGCTGTTTCTTAATGATTCATGAAAATTCAAGAGAGTACAGGTACTCCTCACTTAACGTTGTCCCAGTTAACGTTCTATTAGAAAACATACTCATTTAAACTCGTGCAGTGTTCGGTTATAACGTTGTTTGGCCGCCACCTGCTAGTAGGTAACTACTGTGACGTAATTGGATTTTGTTAACTTTGTTTGGCTTAAAGTCACATTTTTTTCAGAATGTAACAACGATGTTAAGCAAGGAGTAGCTTTAGATAAAAGCTGCAGTCCCGGAGTTAATTGTCTTTGTGTGTGTGTGTTTTTCCTCACCTGAGGCTTTTCCAGACAATGCAGCTCGTCGAGAGGTGGAAAGTTTGCCGGCTGTCTGTATTAATGATGGTTGCACGTGGAAGGGGACTATTAAAGAATATGAGGTAAATTCTTGAGTGAGCCTCTTGTTGTGTGTGTCTGTGCTTGCTTCTTCCTTGTGCATGTATGTGGCAACGGGCAAGGCATTAGCAGTTCAGTTTGTTCATGCTGACATTCACCATTACCATCTGAGCTTTCGCCTGTACTAATTCAGTCCTAATTGCACTCCCCAAACCCCCTGGGTATTGACAGATGAGAAAACCTCAATTTTTTTATGAGCCCCCATACCAGCCGTTTTGTTCCTTCCCTGATGCAAGAGCCATGCACTTTACTTCTGTGACCTCATCTCTCGGACTTCTTCCTGCTTCATTGGTTATTTAAAATGTAAATTATCTGGAAGCTGTAGTACGCTGTTTGATTATCACTGTGCCACATGTGGCCAAGATAAGTGTTTACATTCAGGTCCAAGTAAATACATTTGTTTTGGGGGAAAAGGAGTGTGGAGTTGACAGATCCATATCCTTCTAAGTGCTCCCTGGTAACTTCTGTAGTCTCTGGCCTATGCAATAACTGGGAGAATGAGGCCATCTCCATCATGTAGATGTCCTGAGCTGTAGGTTTACGGTATCATGGATTCACTGGGTATACCAGTAACCTGATCTCATGCCATAAGCTTACTGAGCAAAGTAGCCTCTCTCTAGAACTACACAGAGGACATGGCCCTTGGCATATATATGCCTCTCATTTGGAAGGTACATTCTTGTTGAAAATTTAACCACTCTCCTTAATGAGTACATTTTACTGCAGGTATTTACATTGCAAAGATTAATTTCTCACAACCCATCTGATTGCAAATAAGAGTAAAAGAAAAGGAAGTGTACACTACATAGGAAATTTGACAACCCACGTGGAATATTTTTTGCTTCTAGCTTTGGAATTGCAATCTAGAAGTTGAAAGCCACTGAGTACAGGGATAGAGATAAGAACTCGGGCTGTTGGCTCCATTGATCTAAGTTAAACCCAAATCACGCAGCTACCAAGATATCAGGGTGGAAGGGTGATATCTTGTTCTTGACTAGGTACTTAAGCTTGCTGAATCTGACCTCACATCTTGATTCCATTTGTAACACTACTACAGTGTGATAGGCAGAATAACTTTACTTTGGACCCTGTCTGAGTCCTCTGGCTGGCTTTCTGTGTCCATTAATAGAGAGATTTTGCTGCATCAATGCCTCTAACTGCCCCATCTTCTAGAATACTCTAATATCTTTAGGGTGGGATTTCAACCTAGCAGTTCAATAGGAGTAGAGTGCCTAACCCACTTGGGCTGCTTTGACACTCTTAGCTCTAGCTCCATGAATGGCATGTGGTATCTCTGCTTGTAATTAGATTTTTGATTTAATGTTTGTTTCAAACTAGTACTTGCTGGTAGGACTTTCAATTTAGGGGGCTGAGACCAGAAGTGGCAGCTTTGGGATATCTGTGTGTTTTACTGAGGACTCCAATGGCATAGTTGGTGCCTTGGATTGCTGGATTGAGTGTGTAGTCTTTTGCTGTATGAATGGTGACTTACAGCAAAGCTTTGTGTTCCTGTTTAAGGTGCTGGGTCAAATTCACCAGTAGCATAAGTAAGCCAGCCTCTGCTAAAGCAAATGGAATCGCACCTACCACCAGCTAAAAAATCTACAGTTGAGTTTGGAAAGGTGTGTGAGCCACTGCTTTAGGTTGTTAATTCCATTGGATTTTAAGTAAAAGCTTTCAGGAGAGATCCTACAAGGGCCTGAAGAGGTGTCATCAATGGCCATGTCTCATATTTCTCCAATCCTGTGTAAGTTTTTTTTTTTTTTTTGTAAGGCTAGTCAGAATTGGGGCTGGTCAGTACTTGGATAGGAAACCCCCAAGGAAAAGGTGACTTGGGTCATGTTGGTGACTCAAGGGATAGCATTTTTCCTTTTTTAGTCAGCATTGGATTAATCCAACTGAATATTAGCTGTTGGAAGTAACACTTTTGGATAAGATGCTAAATTGAAGTCCTGGCTACCTATAGCTGGTTATGGCATTCTAACAGGATTAAGATTAAGCTGTCCTGTCCTGGCTACATTCCAGTTTTGGTCATTACCTTCCACCTCTTAGTTGATTGTTGTTTTGAAGCTTTTTTACATTCTCTCCTAAACTGTTGTATGCTCTTAGTGTGCTACCACAAATACCATAGAGGTGACCACACTCTGGTGGCATGTAAAGCTGTGTGTGGGTGGTGGTGGTGGTGGGGGGGGGTACGCATGCGCACTTTGGGGTCCTTCTGACTGGTATGTGCTGCATGCATGTGCTTCCCCAGTCACTCGCATTTTCCCTTACTCTGCTCTTAGTGCTCAGAAATGTTAGAAATGAGGTAATTCTATGCAAGAGAGGCCAGTGAAACCATTGTGGATTGCAGTGCTTCAGCTCTGAGCTTGGAACCCCATTCCCAGGATCTAGCTTGGATTGTAGCTGTCTTGAGTGAGACCAAGGATTTTCAGCTGTAGGAGTTGATTTGTCTGAGAGCCTTACATCCTTCCCCTTTTGTGACAAGTATTGGCATTCACTGTTAGTGAGTGTGGTGCTGGGTTGATGTCGCACCCGCTGGGAAGAGCTCCTTGACTGAGTGGCAGTTCAGAGCAAATAAGGCCAGGCTTCTGTTCTTCGTTCTCCCAGCTGCTTCCAGAGCAGGTCTGGATGTTACCAAGCCTGGCCATCCTGAGCATGGCAGGGAGCCTGATATGTGGGATTGAAGACTGCTTCAGTAAAGGGAAGTGCTCAGTATATATCTCAATCAGGGTCTCATCCTTATATTGTGGACTTGTCTAGCCCACTGGTCGTGGAGAAATGGTCACTAGATATACAGCAGTTAGAGGTGCTGAGGTGTTGCAGCATTTCTGCCTCGTTTGCCTGAAGCCGGAGTGTATTGCCAAGAGCGTGTTTTGCGTTCTGTAGCAGCAGCAGTTCTCCCACCATGGAAAGTCCCTCGCTGTGCTATTTCAGACAAGCTGTGGAAAGTACCTAAAAGATAATTCATTGTTTGTTCATTTAAAAAGGCCACAGCCTTAGTATTGAGAACAGCCTGTCTGGCTGCACTCTTGACTATAAATCAGAAGACAGGAGTTTCTCTGCTGTTTCAGTAACCTTATGGAGTGGGAGAGAAGAAAAAACTGCTTCACAGCTGAAAATTGATAGTCCTTTACTCATAAACTCTGCCCTCCCTCCCCCCATCTCTCAGTTTTGCTTTCTGTTCAGGCTTAGCAAAGTTCACATCTCCATGGCAGTATCTTTTATAAATGAAATGTCTGAAAGTTGAAGCTGTCTCTTACAAAACGCACAAGTTGAGTTCATCCTTCTTGTTGAATACAAGTCTGCATTAGCAAACACATTTTCCTTTTCATGTGGGTTTGGGTATAATAGTAAATGTATGGACCTTGTAGATATTGTATCTTGGGTATGCATAATACATATTGTTTGCTATGGATAAGCAAACAAAAACATGCTGTGGGAAGGAGGGTTAAAACCAGATGCCTTGCATGCAAGGGGAAGATCAAACTCTTGAAAGGAATGTAAAGATTGTAAAGCTAAGCAGCTGGAGCAAGAGAAATAGCCAAGAAAACTTCTTCTTCTGACTTCAAAAAACTCAGATACTATGGCAATGAGAACTGGGTACCTTGATGGATAACAGACCAGACACAGTAGGTTCAGCCAGGTTCACAGCCTCACAACTCTCTTCATACCATGTTAAAATGACACTTTCAATGTAGATTTCAGGCTAACACATCAAGCTACTTCTCTACGTTAAAAGTAGCCTGAGATGCCTATGGAGTAGTGTTATCATTGGTATTGGAGCAGGGAGGAGAGAAAGAGCAAAGTAAATTTCTTTTGGCTATGGAGAACTGTTTATAGATGTCAGTGGATTTTAAAATAAACTGTCAGGAGCAGAAGAGCTGGCATTATTTTCAGATCATTCTTCTTGGGGAGCATGGGGTTGTTGGAAGAGTAGGGAAAACTGATCAGTCCATCAGGATGCATCTCTTTTAGCTTGAGAGCAACCTTTAAACTGATTCAGTAAATTATTGATTTACTCAAGAAGCACATAAAGACTGTAGGTAAAAGAATTTTCCTGCTCGGGGGAGTTTTGCTGACAAGTGTGGAGGTGATGTTCTTGTCTGCTGAGAAGACAACATAACCTGATTCAGATTGGAATAGGGTATAGCAGGTAGCTCTTTCACACCGATTTAAGAATTATTTCTTGTGACTATCAGGCAAGACAATCCAAAAATTCAGTTAAATATTTGTGAGCGAGAGACCTCTTTTTCCAGAAACACGTGAATTTATCAAAAGGAAATATCTCTCTGGCCCAGGATAAGATTACAGCTTTGAGCTAGAAAGCCCCACGGATTCATTCCACAGGCTGGAGGTTGAGCACCACTAGTCTGGTGGTCAGTACCTCTGCTCTTTACAAAGCTGGAATTAAAACCAACAGATTTGAAACTAGCCTCCCTTAGTCTGTGTTTATCTAGCTGGCAACCTAGAGATTAGATTGCTTCCTGTCCAACCCACATTGCAGGATGTAAGCTGGGGGGAGTGCCAGAAAATGTGTGTGGGAGGGGGGAGTTGGAAAGCCCCAGCTGTAAAGGGTCTAATAGATTAGTGCTTACTTCTAAAAACAGCTCAAATCTATGAATCAAAGGGATGGCAGTGGCTTGGCTAATTAACAATTTTAGTATATGCCTCTCTGAAAATATAAAGCTGTAACTCAGTAACTTTGAAGGTCCTTCTCAAACCTAATGAAAAACCTCTGGCATCCTGGGTTGGACTGAAGACTACTTTGATTTTTTTTCAGGCAGCATTAGACTGTCAGTTCCAGGTGGAAATTGCTGGACTCTGCATTTCAGAGAAATACCAAAGCTATTATCACAGTTTGCTGTAAAGTGTTGCCCTTGGCTAGAAGCTGACAAAAGTTATGCTTTCAGTTCATTTTCTAGAAGCTAAAGATTGAGATTTAAAGTAAACCCTGTTTGGAGAGCAGAGGTATCCAAGCCAGGTCAAGTTTTCCCCCAACTTCCAGAGGACTTTGTTCCCAACTGTGTTTTTTCTTTCATGTTCCCCTTCCTGAAAGCCCCCACTGCTTTTTAGTTTATAAAGCAATAACAAAATTAACATTTCATGTCCAAACTTCCGCCCTCTTGGCACATGATTCACTTTGCCATTAGCCTTCCCTAGGAGCAGGAGGAGAAGGAATGGATGCGGGGCCTTGCTATAACTGGCCAGATGTGGTCCATGGAGTTTTTATCATGTGGCCTCTTGGCAACCTTATCTCTAATGCAGGGGTCAGACCAATATAGGTGGCAAGTTCTGGTATTTGTTGCAAGGCTATAGTAAGGTATAAGAACTATGGTTGTGCCAATAAAGATTTTCTTTGCTGATACTGATAGCTGATGATTAAACGACCACATAGGCCCATGCTGATCTGATAACTGAAATTTAGTAATAGTGCAAGGCATTTTAAACTACTGACATAAATGCACAACAAACAAAAAAGGTTTATTTATCACTCTCACACCTCCCCTCTCCCCTCCCCTTGATGAGGAAGGTGGTAACTGCCTTATTCCCATGCATGTCATCCTCTTGTCCACAGCTCCTACCCACAGCCATGCAGCCTGTGCTGCTGTCCCAGGTGGGCAGGGGAGATCCTCATGCAGACAGCAGTGCCAGATGCATTTGGAGCCCCAGAGCATGTTGCTGCCTCAGTGTCAGCAGGCCCTGTGCAGCTGAGCTCCTGCGGCCGCTGGGGTGAAGCTGCTTTTGCAAAGGTACCCGATGCCCAGTGGAGAGGAATGTTCCTCACATGGCACCTTACCTTGCCTGCACACAGCCCAGCATCTCCACAGCATCCCTGGTACTCCAGCCTCTGGTGTGCATGCAGCATTGCCATGTTAGCAGCAGCAGGAGTCAGTAATGGTTCCTTTGTTGCTGAGTGTGGCACCCTCTGTTGCTCATCAGGACCTGTACTCTGTGGCAGGCTCGGGCTGGCGGCAGGGTGCACGGACCAGACTGTACTTGCCAGGGTGTTCCAGGCACACAGTCGTAATTATTGGCTACAATGACCAAAAAAAGCCAATAGCTGATAATGTAATTTCTCCTTTTATTGGTGCCAATCTGATAGCGAACCAATATATCGGTGCACCTCTAATAATAACCTACTGCTGTTAGTGGGGCATTTGACGTCATGAGTTACTTGGAAGGAGGTGGCAGAGTCTATACACTAGCAGTATGTAGGATAGAAATAAACAAGAGCCTGACATGCAGTGTTCAAAGCACTGTGACTGCAATCCCTGAAAGTGATGATGACCAGCAGAGCAGGTCTGTCTGGAACAGTGGTGCTCACATTTTTGGCCCTGCAGGCATGATGAATTGTGTAGGACTGGTCCACAGGTCAGATTGGGCCCTGCGCTGTCCCCATGATGTCTCCACCCAACTGCAGCCTGATCCTGATTGAGTGGGAGGAGTGCGGGGCCCCAGGATCCTATTCCAGTGCACAGGGCCCTGGAGTCCAATCCCAACTAGTCGGAAGCGGCACAGGGCTTTGCACTACCCATGCTCTGGGATCAGGCCCTGGGGCCACAGCTGGTGGGAATCCCTGCAGGATCCTTGGGGATACCTGTGGATTAGATGACATGGCACTAGGGGCCAGATCTAGCCTACAGGCCAAGGTTGGGCACC